TGGCAGCTATATGGCATTTTGCATCAGTGCACATCAATCCAAACAACCATTCATTGTTTCAACTAATGGCTTGAGGTAATATCACTTAAGTCATAATAAAAATTTACATGAAATGAAAATTGATTTGGTCGAGATACTATCAAAATCTTGTGCTGCACTGAATAAGCCTAGACAGTTTCTCAGGCCTCGTCAACCCCCAATCAATTTTACGTGGGTCATTGCTCTCTTACCATCAAAAGTAAAGAGGAATCTCAGGTTAGTCTCATTTATAGCTTAACTTGACAATTGTTTAGAGAGGATATACAATCACGATTCACAATTCTAGAACAACCACCTCAGATAATACAATCTTATGGAAACAACACTAATGAAGCACCCAAATTACAGTTACATACATATTTCCTATGATGGTATGCATGTGCAGATTAAGAAAGCTAGATGGATTAATGAGGGAGCTTACTTGGCATGCGGTTTTGATGAGCTTCCTGGTAGAGATGTATAATCGGTCGGGTCAGGCATGTGTATATTTCAACATGCTATACTAAAAACACAAAGAGTTCGATGGGTTTTTTCTTCCCATGTCAACATATGCTCACCATGTATTTATTCCTTGTAGAGAGAAGAATTTGAAACCACCTTGTATCTGCTCCAATTACGGGTATCACTCGTGCTTTTTATATTGTAATTATTAGAACTCCACTTTTAAATATGGAAGCAAGTGACCACTATCACGAAACATCGCATTGTAAAAAGAAACCATGTTCTAATGTTGAAGATCAGCATTATAGCTTGAATAGTTCAATTCGGCAACTATCTCAACTCTTACATATAAAATCTGAGTAATGTTACGTTATTTCAGTCAAAAGAAACCATGTTCTAATGTTGAAGATCAGAATTATAGCTTAAATAGTTCAATTCGACAACTATCTCAGCTCTTACATATAAAATCTGTGTAAAAGTGGTATATGATTGAAGCTATTCCCTATGTTAACACTAAGCAGAATAATCTTTGTTACTAGAAACTAACAATAAAAACATTCAAATTAGGAAAATGATGATATTGAAAAGGGGTATCATAACAAAAGCAACAAAAATATAGCTATGTATCTTTATTCAATTCAAAAGTCAACCTAGAAGATCAACCAAATGAACTGATGGTTAAGATATTACACATTACTGTCAAAGAAACTAAATAACCCACCAATCATCTCTCCAAGCAGAACACTCAACCTTTCATATTTAGTACCCCTCCAAAAATTGCTTTGGCGTAACAATATAGGTGGAGGAGGTTAGGCGGTTGTCTAGTCTGATGGGAAGGTTTGGAGAGAAGTTAATGGTTGAGTTTTAGTGGGTCGAGACACTATTTAGATATTTTTACATTAATTGCATCTTTTACATCCGTCTTTGACAAACCAACATCACAAAACTTTTCCTTATTTACCGCTCTCTTAAAGAATGTGCCTCATATTCACTCAAAACTTCTGTGTGAAAAAATATTGTTGTTTTATGATAGTTATAAAATTTGAGTCTATGTTAAGACATCTGCATCGCTTGTACACATTCAATACTTCAATTGGATATGCAATATTTTTGCACCAATGACATATGAGTTGCGATTTTAAAATTATTCTCCTTTTATAAGATAAACAGAAATAGAATTAATTATTAAACTCAAATTAAAATAATCAAAATATGAAAATAGAAGTATCAAATACAAAAAAATATTTACGGGAGAGTAAGTGAGTTAGCTAACCATGTTGAAAAATTCCTATAAATTTTCATATTTAAGCTTCTTATATATTTTTTATTTTTAAAAAATAATTTTTTAGTGTAATTGGTTATGTTTCTTCTCTTTTTTCAAAGAGACAACAGTTTAAATCCAATCAATGATATTTTCTTCCTGGTAAATAAGAAAATAAGAAATGATTATGAAGACGAATCTTCTCTTCCTACTTTCACTATGGATGCAAGGATTTTCAAATGGGGAAAGCACCTTTTCTATTTCGCTATTATATTAGGTGTAACAAAAGTAAGCGCAGTGGTTGAGCGTTTAGTGGGATTGTGTTCGTTTATATTAGTAGTGTCTTAACCATCGTGTTCGTCAAACCAACAACACTCAATGTTTCCATATTTACCCCTCCAAAAATTACGTTGGCGTAACAATAGAGGTGGAGGAGGTTAGCCGGTTGCTGAGTCTGATGAGAAGTTTGGAGAGAGGGCGATGGTTGAGCGATTAGTAGGTCGGGGCACTACTTGGGCCCGTTTACATGACATGAGTAGTGTTGTTTTCATCCGCATTCGGCAAACCAACATCACTCAACCTTTCCATATTTATCACTCTCTTAAAGACACATGTACCACATATTCACCGAAAACTTCTCTATTGAAAAAACAAAATATCGTTGATTTATGATAGTTATAAAAATAAGTCTATGTTAATAATTTTACATCGCTTCTGCATAGTCAAGAGTGCAACTTGATTCAACGGAAAAAAAAGAGTGCAATTCTTTATGCAATATTTAAACCAATAACATTTGGGTTGCCATTTAAAATTATACTTCTTTTATAAGATAAATAGAAATTAAAGTAATTATTAAACTCAAATTAGAGTAAACAAAATATGAAATTAGAAGTATCAAATACGAAAACAATATTTACAGGAGAGTTAGTGGATTAGCTAACCGTGGTGGAAAAGTCCTATGATTTTTCATACTTAACCTTCTTGTATGTTTTTAATTTAAAAAGATCAAACAAATTTGTTTAGTGTAATTGGTTATATTTTTTGTTTTTGTTTGAAGAGACCATGGTTCAAATCTCATTCCTTATGCATTTTTCATGTAAATAAAAAAAATTACTAAAAAGTAAAAACAATAAATGAATTTGAAGACGAAACTACCTTTCCTACTTTCACTCTAGATGCAGAAAATTTGAAATGACGGTCCAAGTTTCCCTATTTTCATTTTATTTACCTCCAATATACTAATAGACTCGATCAAAGTAATAATGTACAAAATTAGACACTCCTTATCTATCAGTTCTCGTAGGTTGAATAAAGAATCGACCTATTTCATTAAATAAATCCTTGATTCCTCGTTGAAGAATAGAAATAGGTTGCGATAGCTACAAAAACCATAAACCTAAAGATCCAATAACCACCACTCTCTATTGTACAACCAAATTTTTATCTCAAGCGGCATATGTCCAAAACTTTAATTTCTTATCCTCTTTCAGCAACTCCATTTATTGAACTCCATTTTATTCGCCATGGATTGATACCGAAGTTGAAATCTTCTATTTGCCCAGGTTAAATCCCCAACAATAAAATCATAGTGCCAAGAGATACTATGAAAATTGAAGTATCAAGCACCATAAAAAATACATACGGTAGACTTAGTGGGCTTGCTAATCATGATGTAAAAGTCCTCTGTTTTCATAGTTTAACTTCGTGTATGTTTTGTATTAAAAATGATATAACAAATTTGTTCGGTGTAATTGGTTGTGATTGTTGTCTCTGTTTAAAGAGACTCGGGTTCAAATCCTGTTATAATATTTTTTATAGGAGATAAATAATTAATTGTGAAAACAAAAATGTCCTTCCTACTTTCACTCTTGTTGCATAAGATTTGAAATGAGATAAGTACACAAAACTCTACCATATATTATTGGATAGTTTCTTCCATGTTAGCCAATTACCAATCTACCTTTAGAAACTTAAGGAGAGAGCGAGAATTTTAAAATTGATAAAATTACATGAAACTTTACAATGAAAATTGAAGTATCAAACAACATAAAAAATACATACAGTAGACTTAGTGGGCTTGTTAATCATGATGGAAAAGTCCTCTGATTTTCAAAGTTCAACTTCGTGTATGTTTTGTATTAAAAAGGATATAACAAATTTGTTCGGTGTAATTGGTTGTGATTGTTGTCTCTGTTTGAATAGACTTGGGTTCAAATCTTGATATTGATATTTTTATATGAAATAAATAAATAATTGTAAAGACAAAATTGTCCTTCCTACTTTCACTCTCGTTGCAGGAAATTTGAAATAGAGAAAAGTAAACAAAACTCTACTATATATTACTGGAGGATAGTTTCTTACAGTTAGCCAATTACCAATTTACCTTTAGAAAATTAAGGAGAGAGCATAAATTTTAAAATGGATAAAATTACATGAAACTCCACTATGAAAATTGAAATATCAAGCACCATAAAAAATACATACGGTAGACTTAAGCTTGCTAATCATATGATGGAAAAGTCCTCTGATTTTCAAGAGATTAACTTCGTGTATGTTTTGTATTAAAAAATATATAATAAATTTATTTAGTGTAATTGGTTGTGAATTGTGATTGATTGTTGTCTCTGTTTGAAGAGACTTGGGTTCAAATTCTATTATTTATATTTTATATATGAGATAAATAATTAATTGTGAAGACAAAAATGTCCTTCCTACTTTAAAAGTACACAAAACTCTACTATATATTATTGGATGATTGTGTATAATTAATTGTGAAGACAAAAATTTCATTCCTACTTTAAAAGTACACAAAACTCTACTATATATTATTGGATGATTATGTAGATTTGGGTAAATGTTCAATAGATTGGAACCAACTGCTAATTTACCAACCACAATGTTTCATATTTTGTTACCTTGCCACTGAGGCTCGTTTGCTTGTTGGATTTGAAAAATGAGGGTTTGGAGTTTTAAAAACCTTTGGATTTATGATGGATTTGTTACATTATGGATTTGGAAGAGTTCATTGTTTGTTTGGTTAATTTTTATCATTGATTTGTCTCACAACTTTGCCTTCCATGATCAAATTCCAAATGAAATATGGGATTTGCGAATCCGTGGGGTCCACGGATTTGGATATAAAAAAAGGGTTCAAATCTGTGACCCCCACAGATTTGTATCCCTTAGCAAACAATGGAGTTGTCTCAAATCCATGATGCTTGGAATTTGGATGCCAAATCCATTACCCAAATCCCACAAGCAAACGATACCTAACTTATTCTATAGCATACAATACGAATGGACAATCCCATCTTCCCAATTCAACCGAAACACAAACACAATCACATTTAGGGACAGAGATAGAAGAAACCACATTTCACAACCTGGGTTGAAATGAATTTGTGAACTGGGCACAATTTCCTGCTGTTCCTTCCTGTTCATTACACAACCCTCAATTTCACAGAATCTCCTAACTAAAACAAGCATATGCGAAGAACTTGTACATTGAATCCACGAGTAGAAGAGTAACAGAGTGGGTGGCATGAACAGAAGATAGCTTTACCACCACTCCAAAGTATCTTGCGATGTTATGCAATTGACTTGGAACAGAACAAGAAAAGAAAGAAAACACACCGAGAAATAGAATTTCCAACACTCCAAAGGAACCCAAAGTCGGTTTTGGACAGAGTGTGGGTAAAAGATCAAATTACCAAAGCAAGAAGGATGATTGAGCCCCCCCCCCCCCCCCCCCCCCCCCCCCCCCCCCCCCTATAGAGCCCTTGGACTTCGTTTTCCTATCACTCGATCTAGTGTCCAGGGGATTCAAGAAATCCAGAAGGCATCAGGTTGAATCCTATCTTCCTCGCAGTTCTAATAGCAGTCGTCTGTTTATGAATTGATGAAGCAAGCCAAAGTATCAGGGCTCCGTATGAAATCCTCCACCGAAGTAGCCAGAAAGAAGCTTGTACCTCAGAAAGAACGCAACTTGGCACTCAGCATCTGCAACACACCAAAATGTTGTTCAATTGCTTAGCATGCTAACGGTGATGCAAAAATCTCAGCCTATAATGCACCACCAATTAGATCCAGCCTATCTTAAGTTGATTTTGGCATTGCTCTGCATTTATTACTTCTCCTAATACAGAGCTATTACCTAATCCAAAACATCCAAGGACCAGATATAGGAAAAAAGCCAAATGACAGCAAGAATACAAGGATTGATTAGCATAACCAGCAAGCAAACCAAGAAAGTAGATCAAACTCGATGTAGGATTCCTAGATCAATAAGCAAATTGCTGAAGTGGGAACCTCACGCCCAACTAATTCGGGAAAAAGCATTACCCATTGCTGTGCAGATTACTAAACTCCCCCAACTTACATTCTATGCATGGTGTGACTTATCCATAAGTTTAGTACTTCAAAGAGCAGAAAGGAACTAACAGGGTAACCATGGAGAGCTTTTATGTTTGGGAAAGAGCTGCATACTCAAAGGACAATTTTTGGCTCTGAGATAGAGCAACAATGAGATAACTGCCAAACATTTAGAAGTTCTAAGAATAGAAAGGAAGGCTTCAGAGAAGAGGAAACCAAAATCCAAGCGGCAGAGATTAGATCAAATAGGAGAGAACAATACCATCCACTAGAACTGGGTCGGCTCCCACCGGATCGAGGTCGATTCAATAAGCCGGGCTCCGCATCGCCGCCTACAAATCTCCTCGTCCTATCGTACCCACCACCGCCAGACGTTGGCCGCCCATCATTTGCATATCTATCCGTAGAACCGACATGGCCCTGTTGCGGATTCGGATACTGCCTGTGACCCGTTTCCTTCCCGGGAAGCGCCTCGGGTCCGGGTTTTTCTTGTCTGGCGACGAAACCAGGTCTAAGATGCGGTGGCACAAATTTGTTCGGCTTGAGCGATCCGAGGGCTATTCCGCTTCCGATCTCCCTTTCCTTCTCTTGACCGACAATCGGAGATGGGGTTCCGAGAACCGCTGGAGAAGAGACCAAAGAACCGCCTCCGGTCCGCCCCAAAGGACGAAGAGAAATCTGATCCGAATTCGGCTCGGCCGGAAGTGACTCCTGAACGGAAGCTACCTTAGACGGTGCCGGCGCCGGGATCGGCAGCTGTTTCGAAGGGGAAACAAGTGGGGAAGGCGAAGTCGGGGAGGAGCTGATCGGGGCGGAGACGGGTTTGGTAGTGGCTCGGGTCAGAACAAGCATTCGGCCATGGGAGCGGGCGGAAGGGAGATGATTCTTGTAAAGATTGTTCGGGTTGTTGAAGCTATTGGGAGAAGCGATCGTGGAGTAGAGAGATGGGGCCGAGGATGGATGTTTGCCGTTGCCGTTGGCAGCGCCGCCGTTGGTCAGATTCTTCTCATAAACATGATTGAAGTTAATAGAGGCATACTTATTGGTTCTTGCCATCCACCACCAACCGCCGCCAATATATGTATTGAAGCGTGAGAAAGGAGATGGAAACAAAAGCAGAAACCGGAAGAGAAGAGGGAAGAAAGGGAAAATGACTATAGGATCGATCGGATCTTATGGAAGCAGATGGAAAGGAAGAAATGGTGTTTGTTTTTGGCTTTCTTCTTTCATTTTATTTGTTGCTTTTATTATTTTTGGCTACTTTTGTTTAATTTTTATTTTTTGTTTCTCTAAATTTTTGGGGAAGGGGAATGAGGGGAGAAGTCGTTTTTAGATTGGCTGAAATCTAAGGTTGGCCTGCGACATGACGTGCCCATACGTCAATGGGTTAATTGAGGTACAATGAATTGGAAAAGTAGTTGACAATTCCTAATCTTTCAACTATGGCTTCTCTTTTGTTCATGGGACCACCAATGGATATTGTTTTATGTGTGAGAGACTACTATTTTTTTCCTTAGGAAAAATTATTTTGATCTTCTAGTTAATGTGGCATGGGGAAAGAAGATGGAATGTGGAGCTACTTATCCGTAAATGCGCTGTTACGGATCGGGAAATCGCCGGAATCGATAAAACAAGAATACGAAAGCGAGAATCGAAAAACACGACACACGATTTACGTGGTTCACTAACACGATGTCTGTTAGCTAGTCCACGGGCGAGAGAGAGCCAGTTTCACTATATCGAGGAAATTACAGATTACGGAGGAGTATGAGAAGTATTTATAGTACTTCTCCATGTGGGTCTAAACCTAATCCAATATGGCAAAGCAAAACGGTTACAGACCAGGCTTAGAACCCAAACCCAAATAACAGCGATACCCCGACTATTCCAGTCGTAGCGGCTGATAATCCGATTCAAGTCACATAAACAAATCTCCACCTTGACTTGAATGATCTCCCTCTGAAATCTCTGATGTACTATATTCCTTCTCTCTCTCTCTCCCGCCATCAATGCCCCGTAGGGCGAAGTCACCCACTCAAGACATTCAGCAAGTCCAAGCAGTGTTGGAACTTGCCATGTGGAACCGGCTTCGTGAACATATCAACAGGATATCAGTGGCTGCTGTAACATTAGCTGCCATCCTTTATAGCGTACATATAATATACCGGGTGCGGAAGCACCTCATTCACTTTGAAAAGCTCGTTATTTGGGCAAGACGGGCAATCAGATGTCGTGAAAATGCATAATCTACTGCATCAAAGACGAGAAGACTACATGTGGCATCATGTTGCAGTTTGGCCATAAGGATTTACCCCTCAGCCAAAGTGTTCCTGCAATTGTATGCTTGTAGTGTTGAAGGCTAGGTTTTCTTTTCCCGTTCATCTGGTTTTTTCTGTCTCGAACAAAAGATTCCAAATACATACTATGGAGCACCGTTAGCATAAGTTGGGTCTTCAGAACCAGTAAGATTAGAAAGCTTTGTTGCTTCTACATTAGCATGCCCTCAGGCTAGATAGTGTAGCCAAGAGATAAAACCTAAACTGGAAACATTTTGATGTAATATAAGTTGCTTCATTTATTCTTTTGAATTTGTTGGGGGCATGAGAAGGCTCATCAAGGGGACTCAAAAGACTAAGCCCAATGGAACGAGAAGTTGGCCCAATGGGGGCAAGAGGACAAGCTTGAGAAGTGGGGCCGGATTCTGACACAAAGTGCAAGAGAACAAAATATCATAACGGTCGAAAGTGTACGAAGGGCGTAGCCTATGAGGTCATGTGCCTCGGATCTCTGAAAGCGGAGTCAGATGGTCGAGGCGCCTGGTAATGTGAAAGTACGGTGCATTTAATGAAGTGATGATGTGGGATGGATTTGGGGGGGGGGGGGGGGGGGGGGGGGTGGGCGCAACGGTCGGCAAGGCTCCGAGTATAAATAGTGAAGTTGGTGAACCTCATTTACTCAGGTTGGGACTTCTCTCTCTAACCATTCTTACTTCTCTCTCTAAAACTTGGGGTGTTGACTTGAGCGTTGGAGTGCTAACGGACCATCAAGGTCCATTAGGCGGTTTGTGTGAAGGGTACTAGGCGTCTCGGGTAGGTGAGAGAAGGATCCAGGGCACATCATCGGAGTAAGCAATGAACTTGGGTCAAACAATTGGCGCGGAGCATCGCTTGGCACTGGAAAGGGGCGTGCGCCCTGTGTAGCTAAAGAGGAGACCCCTGACGGAGGAGGAGAAAGAGGCACTGCGCAAAGAGGTTGGGAAGCTGCTCGAGGCCGATTTCATTGAGGAGGCCAAGTAGACGACATGGTTGTCTAACGTGGTGCTTGTACCTAAGTCGTCCGATGAATGAAGGATGTGTGTTGACTACACCAGCTTGAATAGGGTGTGCCCTACCAATGCGTATCTGATGCCCAGAATCGATTAGCTGGTGGGCGCGATCGCCTATCATGTTTTTAGGGTATCTTCAGATCCCGATGTGCGAGGAGGTCAGGGAGAAAATGGCGTTCATGACACCTTTTGGAAACTACCGCTACAAGGTAATGTCGTTTGGGTTAAAGAACGTGGGCTCCACATACCAGCGCATGGTCAACACAGTGTTTCTCAGGCAAATTGGGTGGAACGTCGAAGCGTATGTGGACGACTTGGTGTTCAAGAGTAGGAAAAAATGTGTTCACCTGAAGGATTTGGTGGAAACGTTCGAAATAATGCGTGCTCATTCCCTGCGCCTCGATCCTTTAGAATGCGTCTTTGGCGCAGAGCCGGGAAAATTCTTGGGCTTTATGATAACGAAGAGGGACATCGAGGCTAACCCAAAACAAGTGGAGGCGATAAGGCCTCTCAAGCCTCCAAGGACACCCCACGAGGTGCAAAGCCTAAACGAGCGTATGGCGGCGTTGGGCCGCTTTATCCCTCGCTAGGCAGACAAGGACGCGCTCTTCATCCACATGCTGAGGAAGGCATCGCGTTTCAAATGGTCCGAGGAGTGTGATGCAGCATTCGAACAATTGAAGAGCCTGTTGACGGCACCCACAGTCATGACGACGCCCAAAAAGGGCGAGACCTTGTACCTCTACATCGCTGTCTCGCGCGCAGCAATTAGCACGGTGCTCATATCAAAGGAAGAATAGGCCAAAGAATAACGCTCGTTTACTACATAATCAAGGTGATGTCGGGCCCGAAGCCACAGTATGCTCCCATTGAAAAGGCGACTTTAGTGGTTGTTGTGGCTGCCAAAAAATTACGCCCGTATTTCCAGGCGCATCATGTGGTAGTACTCACTAACTTGCCATTAAAAATCACGATGGTATCCATGGATGTTACAGGGTGCGTTATGTAATGGGAGGTACAACTAGTGAGTATGATATCATGTTGTGCCCGACCGACAATTAAGGCGCCAGTTTTGGCCGACTTTACGGCGGAATGAGTTGCAGGTGACGATGGAATGGTGGACAAAGACTAGCAGATATATGTAGATGGGGCGGCAAGCAGGGTTGGTGCCGGATCGGGTGTCGTGGTTATCAACCCCACAGGTGGGATGCATGAGTTGGCCCTATGCTTCTCATCACTAAAAACGAACAATGCGGTAGAATATAAGGTTGTCATTGCGGGATTGCATGCGGCACGCGAGTTGGGGTGCATAAGATTCGCATCCGATCAGACTCCGCCTTAGTCATCAACCAGATGAATGGCGTATAAGACGTGAAAGAAGATGCCCTGAGCGCATACATGAAGACAGTTAAGGCCAAAGGCGCATGGTTAAAAAATGTGGATTTTCTCCATTGTCGAAGCTTGCGATAGCTACAAACTTCAAGGGCGAAAGGCACGTGATCGTTACCAAGGAGCACTCTCCGGAAGAGTTGATGGTAGGTAGAGGTGTTCAAATGGTGTGGTTACCGTGGTAACCATTTTAACCGGTATTATTTGGATAATTTGGTTTGGTTTATTTGGATAATTGGTTTGGTTTGGTTAAAGTTTTTAGCTTGTTTGGTTTAGGTGGTTTGGTTTGGTTTCAGACACTCCTAACCAGTCAAACCAAATTAACCAGTTAAGTAATTAGTCATATATCTAACATATATTATATATGCATACTTAAATACTTTGCATAACCACTTAAGAGTTAACGTTCATCCCTTTTAGACTCATAAAATATAAAGCTCGATATTGCTCATATAGTGTATATTTGTATATGTAAAGTGTAGACCACAACATATGGACGCCCAATTTAGATAAAATTGATACATTATGATGGATGAAAACTTGAAAGGAAGGTTGATGCTCTAAAACACAACACCTAACAATGGCCAAGTGTAACCAATGAAAGGGACTGCAGTATAGTGGCTCAAGTAATAAATATCGAATCCACGGGTCTCTAGAGTTACTATTACTCAGCTTCAGTTCATTATCTAGCAAACTAGATTAAGGATTGATTAACTAAACTACTCTACTAACTAAACTAAGTAAAACTACTAATTACAGGTTGGGAACTCACTTAGGTATGATTCCCCCTAGCTCCTCAATTAGGTCCAAGTTGTAATTCCTTTTGGTTGTTTTACTGTTGATTAAACAGCGGAAGATCCGACAGTAGCTTGGAATCTCTTAAGCTGACCAAGCCCTCTCAGTCTAACTATCCGGCAAACGACTAGTCTTCACCGGGATAGAAAGCCGAAGCAATAAGCACAGAAATCCACTACTGGAATTGGATTCCAGTACAAAGCAGTAAACTGGCTAACTCTCGTATAGCCAATCTCCTACTACCGAATGATGAGACTCTAGCAACCTAATCAGATTCTATCTATCTCAGATTGCAGCAGGAATCATGAAAAGTTGATCAGACTTCAATTGACTCAATAAACATGCATCATTCGATTATAATCAAACAATAAAGCATCCAAAACTTCATACAAGAAAGATCCTAACTCATGGAACTAGGGTTCCTCAAAACCTAAGTGAAGGGAAGTTACTCCATAGAGAAGAGAGAGACTGCAGAAATCTGATCTAGATCTTCAATCTCCATCTCCAAGCTTGATTCCCGAGCTCCAATGGCGAAGAAATCCTCCAAAATAGCTCCAAGAATGTTCCCAAGTCGCTCTCTCTCTCTAGGGTTCGTCCCTTGGGTGTTTGGGATCCAAAACCCAGCTCTCCCCCTTTCCTTTTGCTGAAAATCGGGTTTTAAACAGCAATTTCCGACTCACACGGCCAGGCCACACGGCCGTGTGGATTTCCCAGCTGCCCGTGTGAAGGCTCGTTGATTTCCACACGGTCACATGGCTAGGTCACACGGCCGTGTGGGTTGTGCCCGTGTGGCTTGCTCAGCCTCTGTTTAATGCTTCGTTTCTCCCTCGTCCGGACTCCGAATCAGTCGCCGTTTGATCCCAGACGCTCGTAGTCTCGTCCTCTTTCTTTTCATGACAAGCTTGCATGATTATTTGTCCATAAAATGAGGTAGAAATCCATTCTTCTTCAGGTCATACCCGAGTTTCTTCTCCCGAATCGTCAATTGATCTCTGATTGACTTGAAACTTGCGCCTATGCTTCACTTTATGTGCTAGGACCTGAAATGTGACAAAGGAACACAACCTAGAGTAAAATAGGCCAAAGACACGATAATTCAAGCTCAAACAATCAAGAAACAAAGGGGAAAACATGTGCAAATACCGAGTCATCAAATCCCCCCACACTTAACTGTTTGCTTGTCCCCAAGCAAACCTAACTCAAACCAATGAAACTCTCCAGAGCTCTATAGCAACATAC